AACACCTGCCGGGGCTCATGTGATCCGAGTGTGTGCTCCTGCCTGTGGCGGGGGGTCAGACTAGATGATCTGTTCAAGTCCCTTCTGACCCCAAACTACTATGAAACTATGACACGTTGTCCCCAGCTTTTGCTATTCTCTGATCATGTCTCATGTCTCCTTTTCTTCATGGCCATGTATGTGCATTCTACAAGTGATGCACACAGGGCTCAATACATTTTTTTCTTCCATGATAGTTGTCAGACTGATTCTCATAAATTGTGTTCTAAATCTACCACTTAATCTCCAGCAATCACTAGTTGTGGGGCTAAATTCTGTAGTCCTGATTCAAGTAAAATTTCCCTTAACTTCAATGGGAATTATACGTTAGAAAGAACCCATAAATTTAGCACTTGTAAATTAAACAAAGAGAAGGAGTGGGAATTTGGAGTGGCAGCAAATGTGTAAAATTGCCAAATGAGGTAATCTCTAGGGAGAATTGAGTAAACTTCTCCATTTTTGCAAATCTGCGAGCTGTATATTCACAACTTTGAAATGAATTCACTAGAGGATACACTTTTAGCTTGATGTTCTGTCGCCAGCCGTTAAAGAACTTCAGGGATAAAGGGGGGAAAAAAACTTTACAAGTTTATTTGAAAAAGAAGAAGAAAAACCTGCCATCAATTTTGACAAGGCTACTTTTGTGTCTCTTGTAATAACTAATTATCTAACTAGTGTAAGAGATTTCCATGGCAAAATGCAGAGCACTTGAAACCCTTGCCAGGCTAATCAAGATGATTTCCAAAATGCCAAAACAGGAACTTCCTATAATAAATAACTTAGCACATTTACATCTCAAATTAAATATTTTGGAAGAAAAATACTAGGTATGATGCCAAAACAGAGCTTATTGTATCCTACCCACTTTTTCCCCTTTGCTTTCTTTAGCCTTTTCTTAGAACAAACACTAATCCAGGTGCAAATGCTCAATTCACAAAGAATGCAGTGAACATAAAATTACCGTAGGTTTGGCTGCTAGTAAATCCCTGCTGTTACTCACCATTAGAAGTTGTGCTGGAGGCAACAGCTTTCTCACTGACATCTGTTCGAGTAGAGCATTTCACTATGGAATTCTCAACTTTCTTCTTCTCAGTAGTGGTAGAGCTATGGGACTGGGCTTCCATGATGACTTCTCATTACTTCAGTTCTCCTTGTACTAATACCTGAATAAAACAATAGAGTCATAAACTTCAAATGCCATAAAAAGCTTAGTCAAAAACCTGGCACACTTCTCACCTGAAGAAGAGCCTGCAGCACATCAGCATTAGTAATCCACAAGCCATTTCATGAAGCCTTTCAAATCAGGTTTGCATGCATGAATTCCTGAGGAATTTAAGGAAACGCTAATACTGAAGACAAGCACATTTTGTGTGACATTCAGGTTCTTTTTGTTAGAAAACCTTGTAAGATTTTAATGGACCTGTGTAAGAAAGCCAGCATTTTTCCCCCTGTCCTGAACACTTCGGAACCACACTGCAGAATTCAGACTGACCATTATGTTAGCTGGTGAAGCCAAATATTTAAGCTTCAACAGTCACACTATCACTAAAATAGCAATGAGAAATACATCTTTGGGGTCTATCTTGCCCAGCTCATGTAAACATCTCTCATTTTTGTTTTAAAAATGTAACTCAAAAAAGCATATTGGAACAACACCCTGAAAACCTCAGCAAAAGGCAAATATTATTGCTAGAGACAGTTAATGGGATCACTTTCTTTGCATGACAAAACTGAAAATGGAAAAGCCTGCAAAAAACATGTTTGGTTATTCTGCCTTTCACCAATTACTTTTAGCGTAATCTGCATCAACTCCTTGTTCATTCTTTTTTATCTCTGAGATCATTTCTCCTTATTCCAAGAGCTTTTGAAAAAAATGACCTAAACCTAAGAAAGCACCCCTCGGTTATCCACAGGGGTAAAATACTCTATGAAGCAGTGTATCTACTTTGAGGTACCGAGAAGCAGAGAGTGATTCTGGTCTGTACAAGAACATACTTATTTTTCAGAATCTCGTCTGCAGTTTTAACTTGGCACAAAATTCCCCTATAGTAAGCCTTATACAAATAATCAATATTCAACATGCACAGTTCTTAATCACAAAGTAGTACACAAATACTTCCTAGTCTATCTAACAACTAATCCTAGTTCTCACATAAAATACAAATAACATATCAAACCTTACTCTGACAGACATTACAAAACAATTCACAATAAAGCCCATATAGAAATTTAATTGCATTATTTGCTGTATAAATATTAACCAGTTTCCCCAGTTTAGACTGGACTACAGTCAACAAGTAAACCTTTCATCCTCCCAACACCAAATGCACCCCAAAAGGGGTGCCAATATAGCAGTAGTAATTAGTTACAACACTAACAGGCTACTTCCTAGCCTCTCAGGAAGGAAGAGTAGGCCTGGAAGGGACCTCAGGAGATCATCTAGTCCAACCCCATAATCAATTTAGGATCATCCCTGTCTAATACTCTTGAAGTCAGACTCTAATAGGAACTTCATAGGTGAAAATTTCAAGATCTCTCACATATTTTCTCTCTCTCTTTTCTTGTCTCCTTCTTTGAATAAGGTTAGTCCACACTTTAATTACCATGCCTTTTCCAGTCAATATAGAGGACAATTCTACAGTATATTTCTTGTACTCTTTCCACCCTTGTTTTAAGTCAGTTAAGGGAAACCAAGGACCCTGCCATACATAAGGAAAAAGGTGTAGTGGGATCTGATGCATGATCCACACAATTATGCTTCGTGCCATAACACATGTGCATGGTAGGAGGTGGGACTGTGGGATCACACAACAAATCCAATCACACCTTATTACCGGTGCAGGGGAAGCCTGAGATCATGATACTGGGCTTCCCCCTGCACCATCAAGTAGCTAGCTCCCACAGCTGGACGTCTGGGTCAGCTGAGGGGCCTTCCAGCTATGAGACTACATGATGTGGTCCTGGGGCTGGGAGCATCATCAAGGAACAAAATAATTAAAAAGCTGTTCTGTTAAAAATGAAGAGAACACACTTTCTGCCATAGTTACATGGAACCAGGTGGACAGATGAACCACCTAAATAAAAGGCCAGAAAATGAAAAAAGAAGACTAATCTCCTTCAGCTTTACTTATTCCCAGGCAACTATGAGGTATGACTCTTCCTCTTCACCTATTCTGTCTGGTCATAACTGTACAAGCATGACAGACATCTTACCATCTGAGTCCAATACAAAAGATGGGTCAATGCAGCAGTTGATAACATCCCTACGTAGAGCACTAGGTTGCCACATGTTCCTTTAGATGCTCTACAACTGAGGGAGCCTGGGACAGGACCTGTTTTTGTCTAGTCTTTTCACAGGTCAACTGCCTGCGGAGATGGGGGTTGGGGGGAAGGGGGTAATTATTGTTTCCTCTCTCAGTTTTTAATTAAATTAATCTAAAGCTTTTGTTACCACAGCTTTCTGTGGTTCTTTGCTGCTCACTGCCCCATTGAGTGGTTGGTGATACAAAGCAAGGCAAACCAAGTTATCAACTTATTATTTTAGAGAGCACTTTGGTCAGAAAATTGCAAAATTGGCAACTTGCTAATATAAATATCTGCTCCTGGTGCATGTTCTGAGTCATATCTTTTCAGTTTACATATGGAGGTCTATTTTTATTTGTCACCACTGCAGATGCAGTATCACTGCAGATAAACATTTCTGTTTTATTCTGCCTCTTTCTTACAGGTCTCTCCTTCCACCACCACCTTCATTATACCCAATACACACAGACGTTCCAATAAAATAACTTAAGAGTTCTACATGCTGAGGGCTTTGCTGCATCAGGACCTCCATTTTCAAATCAACTCGGGGTTGTTTGCAAAAATTGTTGATGTGCTTGACAGAAATATTAGACTGTAATAATAGTAGAAGGAGTTTGCAAGAGCAACCACTAAAAAAAAAAAAAAAAAAAGATTTTGACATGTTAGCCAAGCAGATCTGATACGGATATCATCAATTGAAAATACATACATGGTCACTTTTAGGGTACCATATTTATTTTAAATTGATGACAAATATCAGAGACTTGCACTTCTATTTATGGCTTTATAAGGGGCCACAATGTGATATCAGTATGAGTTGAGGGGACTTCAGATGTTTAGGTTCCCTCTCCTTAAGTTCAAGTGTAATTTTTCCCTTCAAAAAACATAATGAAATATGTAAGGACGTCCATATAAGTGCTCCGAGGTGGATGGTTTAATTAGAGTGGTTCTGAAAGCCATTCTTATTAAAGTGCCCACAGTGTCATGTGTTTTCAGTGTCCTGCACTTCAAAATGGTGGCAGGGGCATTTTAACTCAAGCTTATTCAATGAACTTCAGTTAAAGTGCCCCCACCACCATTTGGAAATGCAGGGATGCTGAATACATGTGATACAGAGGCTGCTGGAACATGCTAATTAGCACTCTCCAGCAGACTCGATTAATCGAGTCTGCTGCAAAGCGTGCTAACACGCATCGGAGCAGAGGCCTGTCACAAGTATAGGTGCCATAAAATTACAGTCTATTAAAAAAATAGTTAAAGGCCCAGGACAAAGTGAAATTTTATTTCTACTGGCAGTTAATCACCAGCAGAAAGTTTTCTGAAAAAAGGCCAGGCTGAAGTAGTTTTCACTCATAAAATATTATGTGGTTTATTTTTTTTAGTGTCTACAACCCTCTCTGCATTTGGGTCAGTTAACTGACCCAAAAACATTACATATATATTCTCCAGCAGCAAACTCTACATTCAGATTCTGGAAAGCTGGTTTCTGCTAGCTGTCTTCTATCTGCATGTGCCTGAGAACAACAGCAACCAGGGGGAAATGCTACAAGACTACATGGTTAAAGCTTAAACTTTCATAGGTAAATAAAGGGATAAACATTCCTTCCTGAAAGCAAACATTCATGGTTTTTTACCATTCAACCATACTTGAACCTTTTGTAATTCTCCCGCAGGCCTGAATCCATGGCACAATTAATTCTAGATCTCCATTTTAAACCTAATCCCTCTCATACCAGCAACCTGTCTGCAGGTGTGTGTCTTCTTTTTAAATCTTAACTCCGAACTATTACCAATTTCATATTCAATTAGAAAGATTGTAAGAAAAGGATGCCAGTAGTAAACTAATTAAAAGAGGAAAACCATCACTTGAATTTGAATATCAACAAGTTATAAAGCATAAAATTCACTGACTTTTCCAAGCAACATGAAATCATATAATTACCTGTGTATATGTATTATAGTCAAATCATTGTAAAAATGGCTTTCATAATAGTTAAATAGTCATATTCATAGCAGCAGGGCAGAATCTCCCTTCTCCCCTCACTTGCATTGATTTCATCCCACTGAAATCAATGGAGTGGCACTATTTTAACAGAAGACAATTAGGACCTTAATAAGCATATTTAGTTGAACTTCTCATTAAAACTTAACTTCTTTTCTTTTTGCCCTCTCACAATTATTAGTTCTAAGGGATAGATATTGCAAAAGCCTTTATTCATTCAAGTATCTTACAGCAAACAGTTTTACTGACCTCAACAGGACTATTTACCCAAGTACAGCATTGCAGTATCTTGATTCATGTATAAATTGCTTTATGTTTCCTATGAGCTTTAACAGCCTTCTGCCTCCTTTCAACTTCTTATCTTTTTTTTTTGGATGGTGTTTTAATATATTGTCTCTTTTTTAATTCTTTCTCTCGTTTATTTGATACTGCTGTAGTTGTATTCAATTCATTAACAAGTGGTTTGCATCCACTGAGAAGAATTGTCTGAAATAGCAGTGTCACAGCATTCATCATCATTACATCAGCAGTAGGGAAGTTCATACTGATTGCTATCAGCATCCAGAGTGCCCCAATCAGTGGGCAAGCAAACATAGCATGTTTAATTTTTCAGAAATGACTCTGGGTATTTGGGGTGTTCATATGTACTGCTTTGATCCACGCTACTGGGAGCAGTCTTTGGGGATACAATACATCTCAAACAGAGAAACTGTGTGAAAGTGAAAAACACAAGGGGAGGCATGAAGAACAATCAGGAAATTACAGTCTCTCTCAAGCATAAAGGACCCTTTATCAATTTTATCAAAACTGATTACACCATTCCTTGGGAATATTTAAGGATAAGAAAAGTCTGCCTTG